TAAAGTTATTAATTGCATAATTTTGTAAAAAAAAATCAAAGATATCAATAAAAATTAGAGAGTATATTCAACCCTTAACCTGCACTAATGTCTGGCCCAGCCCACGGCTAATTACTTTCTGTTTCATTAGGTAAAGGGATCAATGGTATGTTTTATTTTAATTGTACTGTTTTGCCTTGTGTTATATTTAAATACCTGGCACAGGAGATTCAGGCAAAGGAATTATCTACATTTGCCTAAACATTCCCATTTAGTGATAACTTTTTACTACTTTAATGTGCAGCATTCAGCCTTGAAGCTGAAAGTACTATATAGTACTAGATTATGAATGTTAGTGGGGAACATATTCTCAAACAAACAAAATAATTTTCTGTTTTCTTACGTTTATTTCTCCATAAGCTGAGCAACATATACTCCGCCCATGCTCAAACCCCAGCTCGCGACACACTTTCTTCGCCGTGATGTCATCAAAATCATCATCGCAAACCAAAGACCAAGTGTCATTTACGTAATATAATACTGTTCCATTAGAACTTGTAGAACCTTCTGGTCCAGATAGTTTTACTGTAAATAAATCATTGATGAGTTCTTTCAAAATCACCTTCCATTGGTCTCAGTTAATTAATCATTTAGCTTATTAGACAATTAATGATTTTGTTAAATACAGATTTGAATTAATTTCTTATTATCAGAAAATTTTGAATCTACCACATCAATGCTCTTTATTTTTACTTCATTACGCAAAAATCTTTATAACTATTGAATTCTAAAGCGAATGAGTCAATTCTAGCATTAATATATTTCATCCAGATCACTAATTAGTAGATGATGTTTGTAAATCCAGGTATACACAAAATTAGGGTCACAGATATTTTCTTACCACTTGTATAACAGAAGACACCCTCATCATCTTTATGTGTCTGACAATATGTTGATTCCTGGAACCCTTCATGAGGACAATCATTTAAATTAGATTCATCACCCTTACACCTGTAAATTACATAATAACTTATACTAGAATTGTATAATTTTAGATATTTAGTTCATTCAGTTTTTAGTTATTAAAGTTACATTAAATAAATATGTAAAAATATTTTGCCGTCGGCCTAAAAATCAAACATTCTACAGTTTCATTAACCTGTTTAATAGTATTGTTGTAAATCTCATCAAATATTGTTCATAAATAAGGATTTTAAACGGGAAACCCCACGGTACCACTAAAGTTCATATACGAATTTTAACATGCAAATGAAGACTATAATGAGCTCGTGTATGCGCTACGTCACAGTTTTATAGTTGCTATCCGAACACAGCAAATGTGATATTTTCTTGTGCAAACACACTTTAACCGTTTAAGCTTCAAGGTGCACTAAACCTGGGGTTCAGTAAAAGTAATAATCTCGTAAAAAGATTAAATTTGTATGAAAACATCCGTTACAATGCGGAAATATACCGTTAAATTAGGACTGCTACTTATAGTCATGATTGTTGATTTAATATTGATGTATGGATGATCCGAAGGCGGAGTTTCTCATGCAAACAGAAATTGTATTTCCCATGAGGTTACCTATTTTTATGCTAATAAAACTCATTTTGGTTGTTTGGACACCAAAATAAGACCTGGAGTCGATATAAAACCCAATTTATTAATGAAATGTCGCTATTTAGTTTTTTATGAAATTTATTTAATGTAACTTTAAGTTTAACTATTGAAAATTTAACCTAAATGGTGATAAATGTCAAAAAGATTATGTAAAGATATCAAAAAGTCAGATTATCGCACTGTGGGGGGATATTTTTTATCTAAGCTTTTGTTTCTGCACTACCAGGCCAATAGGTAGTCTTATATTGTTGTTTTAGGCCAAAATGACTGAGTCATAAGTACTCAGTGCTTGAAAATTAAAAGAGAATTTTACCATTTGTCTGTTTTTACAAGGCAAGGACCTTTACTACAGATCTGAAAATGGGAAAGTTTAAGTCACCGGTCCCTGCTATTCCTTTGAGGCATGTTACAACTGACAGGTACATAAAAGTAAAACATTTCATAACAGATTTTACCTGTAATTAATAGAATAAGCTTTTCCAGATGGTTTTTCCAGGTATTCCCCGTCATATACTTCTCCTGTAACAAACCCAAGTTGACGGCACGTGACATTTGATTCCTCGCTACCCCAGGTATTACTACATATTGTATGCCAATCTCCATTATATGTAAACTCCACTCGACCATAACGATGGTTACCTCCTGATATACGATATGCTATGTCTACAATAAACAGAAAAATATAAGAAATGCTATCTAAAATATTCAACAAACAGAATTTCTACATATAGCATTTAACAAAAGGACCATGTGTTGTGTTAAAACACTTCTCTGTTAAGAACAGCATTTTTAAAGAAATCAAATTTTAAAACTAATACGGTGTTAATAGTTGCTTTTATTCACTTCTAAAATAAGTCAAATAAGTTTGCGATTGTAAATGTTCCATCAAAGTTGAATTATTTTCCATGTGAACAGGGAGACAACTCTAGAATTACTGATTGCTAAGTTATATAGATTTTACTCTTACTTATGTCCCTTGTCCCCATTAACAAGCTTGCCTAAGTACAATATCTTTGATATTTTTGGAAATTTTCTATCTATACCTGTTTTTACAGATATTCTAAGTAAACAGAAAGGGGACATGAGTAAAAAAACCCAGCTTTCAGAAAAAAGCATTGCCCCTTGCAATACAACTGCCCCTTGTTATGATAATCAAGCAATCCAAGTGTTGTGTCAAACCTTTTGATAGTTTTCAATGATTCTACATTTAATAAGCAATTTGTACAGTGAAAAATGATTAAATTATACAATTTCACAGAACTGGTGTCAAGTTCATTTACAGCAATTTTTGTGATCATACTTATAGTTTATATTTTGGGCACACACACATTTGTTTTACCAACCTGTATCATCAAAACATATAACACCAGCATAATGTCCCCTATCTTCACACTGTTGTACATTTCCAAACCCAGCATGTGGACAATCACTCAGTTGACTTTCATTTCCTGCAAATTAAAAAAATCTGAGAATAATATATCTTGCAGTGTTTTGAGCACATAGAAAATATATGAATTTTGAAGCTTAAAGAAATAAAATCATATCACATATTTATATAAGAAGATTTGAAAAAAGTAATAGTGACCAGACTTTTGTACTAAATAATGGCAGAGTGCCACAACAAAGGGATCAAGACACCAAAATTACCTTTAATCACAACTCATCTTACATGAAGTTAAACAGAATATAAAAAGTTAAAAAATCTGGAAACAAAGTAATCCCTCGGAAGCATAATAATCACAACAAAATTACATGAAAATTGCAGACTTGGTTTGATTGGGTCTGTACATGAGGGATAATGAATAAGTGTTCCTCACGCCCCCTAGCACCGGTAAAGACCAACATACAACTCAATCAATTAACTTACCAACACACTTTACGTTACTTGTCCAGTAAGGGCCATTATAATCAAGGTAGATAAATCCAGACTTGTAATGATAGTAAGCTGATCCATTTCTAAAACCAAGTTCCCGACAGACAACCCGAGCATCTTCGTCCGTCCATCCCGTCCAGCAAATTCTACCTGGTACATCCAAATATTTTAATACAACTTGACCTGTATACTTAAGTGATCCCTTCAGACTGACAGAATATGCTGGTTCAAAAAAAAAAACAATTTTGTTATTACAGAATGAAGCTATTAAAATCTAATTATTTCTTCTTCATTACTTGTTTAAATTATAGCTCAAAACTTTTATAGATTCAAAGAACATACAGAAGTTATACTTACATTTAAAATGCATAGCTAAGAGTAGGTATATCAATTAAACATCAATTATCAACACAAACAAGAGGTCAAAATTCCAGGAAAACGAAATTGATGCAGATGTATAATATATTTCAAATTGAAATGACCATGTTTTTATTAAAATAATAAAGTTTGTAAATAAAGTGATAACTCTGGCAATTATTGTGCCAGCTGGTTTATGAGAAATTTATGAACATTATTCGATCAATACAGGTACTCTATGATGATAATAATAATGAAGATTCAAACAATCATTCCACTAATAAATAACTATTGTACCGTTATACCTTTTTTCAGATTCATTAAAACTTTTAAAAAAAAGATTTTGCTTATAAACAAATTATCTTTATTTGTTAAAACTTATTATGTTAATTTAATAAAACTTAAAAAAACAACATTTTAATCAAATTAATGAACCAGAGTAGGTGTGCTTACCCGTTTGAGATCTGGTGCCATTGTAACATGTAACAGATGCATAATTTTGTCTGCTACACGTAGAGTTATTCTTTACAAACTCACAATCTTTAATTAAGTTTGCTGTGTTATTACACATCAAGTGAGTTGTTGACATTGGGGTTGTACTGTATCCATACGGTGAACAACATATAGCAATACCATGCTCATGTCCTAGTTCATGACAAACAACCTCTGAAATAATATGAGTACTTTTATTTTATAACAAAAACAATGCTGCTTCCAGACCAGAAGGAACAAATGAAGGAAGGTAGAAAGAAAGGAAGGAAAAATGAAGGAGAAGGAAAAAATGAAGAAAATTAATGAAGGAAAGAAAGGAATAAATGAAGTAAGATTTACTGAGAAAGAATAAATAAAGGAAAGAAGGAATGACAAAAGAAATAAATGAAGAAAAGAATGAAGGACAGACATACGGATGGACAGAAGGAAGGAAGGAAGGAAGTAAGTAGCTATTAAATTCATTAATGAATTGATAGGAAATACAAATACATGTAATCACGGATTTATGTAATATAAATCCGTGATGTAATACATTACAATGAAATGTAAAAGATAAAGTTACCTGCTTCTGTGTCAGTGAATGTATCAGCACATAAAGTATTCCAATTTTTAGTTCCAAACCTAGCCGAGGGGACATGTAACTCTACAATACCATTTGTTTGTTTTGTACGGTAATCTCCACGATTGAGGCGCGCTGTAAAGTTGAACATAATAAATATTCAGATACTAAATCTATAAAATACAAATACTTTATTTTAGCAAGACTGGTATAAATTAAGTTAAACCAACACGTTAATATGAAAGGGAAATAATGCTTAGTAATACAGTAAAGTTATCAACAGAGGTTCTAGAATGGCTGGTCTTGGCCAACTACACACAATGTTCAAAGTCATTCAGCAATTTCCCATCTATTTGCAACTATATTTTTTTTTCTATGTACATTATTTAAGTTTTTCTATGTACATTATTTAAGTCAAGAGTGTGCACCTTTATAGAAACATGGGCTTTCCTGATATTTTCCCTAAAACGGAAGAATACAAAGTTCCTGTCAGTATTTACAATCATGTGAGGAGCATGACATTCATAGTGTTTGACATTAACCACCAAGGTTAGGTTAAACTAAAAGGGTAATGTAAGTTAATTAATTACCTGATTTATAACACATGACACCAGCATCATCATAATGAGAACATCGTGATATCGTTCTAGCATCCCAAGATGCTCTACACTTCAAGAAGTGGTCTTCATCACCATTACATTCCACATGACTCATCCATATAGGCTGTTCCGATTTCCCCCTTCTCAGTAAGATAGTAGATTCTCCTCCCATGTATCCAGCTTCCCTACAGAACACGTCTGCATCATCATCTTCCCAGTACAGGTCACAAATAGTGCCCCAACGTCCATCAAAGTAAATTTCTGCACGTCCCCGTCCACTAATCATATCAGCAACTCGATATCTTATTGGCTCTGGGAACAAATGAAAAATATAATAAGACTTTTAACTTAATTATCCTCACATTTGTAGTATAAAATGTAAAAAGAGGAAACTTTGATGTAAGTGAAGAGCTTTTTCAAGATATGACAATGACCCTTACTTCAGTACATATATATATATATATATAAGAGCACTGCATGCAGTGTTAATGATTGTAAAAATTCTATAAGTTAAAAAGGGGGCATTACTCCAAAAATATTCCTTTCAGAATTATGCCACTTGTCAAACAACTGCAACATGTCATGATAAGCAAATTCATAATATAATCCAAATTTCATGTTGGTAAATTATAAAATGTTTGAATACTTGGCTACATTAAATATAAATACGTATACCATTGCCAAAACCATGGCACAAACAGTAAGTGTAACATTTACCTGCATCCATGGTACAAACAACTGCTGCTTTAGTTCCTCTACCAACACAAGAATGACCATCTTTTAATGGAGGGAATGAACATTCAGACAAGCTTTGCTCTTTTCCTGTACAATTTACATCAGAGAGAATCATGGGAAGTTTTCCAGAGTTTGCACCAGTTGTGGCATATCCTGTCTGTTAAAGAAAAGATATTGAGTGAACTTGAAATGAGTATTAGTTTATGTATGATCTGTTTTTCACAAAGATTGGAATATTTTGAATAACTTAATACTAATTTAACCCTTTACATAGTAATATTAGCTAGCTTAACTTTGAAATATTATAATGTGTCTATTAAAAGTTACAGAGAAACAAATGTACATATCCTTGGAATTGAAAAACATCAAAGTACTGCAAAATCATTATTATTCATGGCGCACTCATTTTCGTGGTTTTCATTTATAGGTCAATTCACAAATGTAAAATCCAACAAATTTCATTTCGTCTGCTGTAAGATTATTTTGCATCCCATTATTTACATTTTTCCTTTTGTTAAAAGAGATAGTACACAACTTTAAGAATGCACGAAAATGTTCTTTATGTCAAAACCAAGAAATTTTATGCCCTCGGAATTAAGTGAATTCACAGTATGCAGAATAACTTAAATACAGGAGATGTTTTGTGTAATTAAAAGTTTGATGTGCTACAGAGACTATCTCTCAATTTTCCTTACTGTAAAGTTAAGTTCTCTACACAGTACACTGGCATCACGATCATCCCAACCTTCGTCACACACTGACCCATTGACCCCATACCGTGTCACTTCAACATGACCAAATGATTTTCCTTCCTCGATACCAGCACGTAAATCTAGTTAAATGAACAATTTATATACATTACTATTCTTGTAATCCTATAAGGTTAACATAGAACTATTATCACATAACTTTTACATGTATTATTCTTCAAGTTTCAAAATAATGCATAACTTGTATTAATTAGTACTTACCTTAATTTGAAAATTATGTATAAGTCTGTATTCATCTATAAGGTGTGATAGGTGTCATGAATAGTTACTAAATGTATCATTTTCGCTTTCAAATGATAATGTATATTTCTTAAATTATTCTCAGATTAAAATCATTTAAAGCTTTAATAGTCTGAAGAGTGTTAAAAATCATTAGTTTAAAAGTTTTTGTAAATCATTAATCTTTATCAAAGTTAAAGACTTGAAGGGGGTAGGAGAATAACTGAACTTACTTTCAACTGGTGGAGATACATCAGTGCAGATAACTGTCGCATAACTTTTTGACTCACATTTTACGTCAGGACTCATATCATGTGGACAACTACTAAAGTCAACTTCACCAGCATGTCCTGTACACTGAACATTAGCAACTTCAATCGGGTTATAGTACGTAAGTTTGGGACCCAGGCTTGAACAACATTGAGCTTTTCCGTCTTTGTATCCAATGTTTCTACACGCGACTCGTGCATCCATGTCATCGAAATCAACATCACAAACAGACACCCAGTGATTGGATGTCTCGTTTAGTACTTGTATCATACCAAAATTTGGTGTCGGTGCTGCAGATACTCGCACTTAAAAGTTAAAATAAAATATATGTTCTAATTCTGGTAAAAATTACGTTTTTTTTTTGTGAAAGCTTTCATTGAATTACTTTACTGTAAAATAAGAGTATGTTAACATTACAAATTCAATTGCTTTGATATTTCATCTGAAGTAGAAATTTGCACCAGAAAATGTAGTATTTTTTGTGAAATACATAGTGTGTTTAATATATAAGGCAATTTGCAGGACTGTCAACAAGGGGCAGCTGCAGGCCAAAATCGCTGCGACAAATGCATTTTGGGCTGCTTCAAAGCAATAGAAAACACTCCTTGTTGTATGCGTTAAAGTAAAAAAATGACCACTTCAAATTCTAAACAACCAATTTCAGAAAAGCTGTAATGACAACCCTGGGTTTGCATAATAAAGATGTTCCTATCGTCTGAAAACTAGGACTGCTTACATGAATTACATGAAACCATAACAATTTATTACTTTGTTGATATTGTTCAGGCAAAACTATGAAACTTTAATATTAGTTAATTATAGATAAAGAATGTGCTGAAAGTTCCTACCATTTGCATAACACTTGACAGCCATGTCATAATTGTGGGTGAGGCAATCTTCTGGTATACTCTCCCCCATTCCTGACAATAGACACTCCTGTAGTGTTCCCTCTGTGCCCACACAGTTCAGGTTACTTAACCACACTGATCCATTGAGGTGAGGGTAACTTGGTATTGGTATAACAACACCATATTTAAAGTTAAGTTGTCTACATACAACTGTAGCCTCAAAATTACTGGAAAAAAAAAGTTTTATGGAAAATATATAACAAGAGCAATGTCAATCAGAGCACATGACTATTCTCAATGTTTCGATAAAACAAGAGCTTGAATAATGTAGGACTTAACAAAAGGAAAATTTCTTTTAAAAAAACATAAAATAGTAATCAGTCTTAAATCATAATTCATATAGAATTTTCTAGTTTTGAAGATTGGAGTCAGAAGTTCACAAAGGGCAATTACTCAATCAAAATCCAAGCCAGAGCTAATGGCCTCGGAAAGTAACCTCCTTTATGATCTCAAATCAGTATGTGAAGTTGCATGTACATTTTTTGTAAAAATCTTCAGTGGTTTATAAGATAGATACATTGTACAAGAAGTTGCATGTAAACCTTTAATCAAAGTATTACGCCAATGGAGACAGTCAAAAGCAGACACCAACACAGGGATCCGGGAAAGCCCTACTATTCTTTGAATAGTCCAGATTAAAAATTATTACAATTCTCATTTCTTGAAAATATGAAATTATTGTAAGGAGTCCAAATGTAAACAATGTTGTGTATGTTCCTTAACAACCTAAGATGAATTGGTCCACCCATTTCACTTCATAATTGTAAATAAGTCACCATACAATAAAAACATTCTTGCATGCACTTATAAATTACTAATAAGCTATTGCCTAATTAACACACAAATCACCAGGAAAAATATGCCTCATAATTTTAATACTCTGTTTTAATTATAATGCCAGATCTAAAATAGTTATCCTCATAATATTTCTTTACCCTACTGAAACAAAAAGTGATCAGTCATTGCTTAAAGTCAATATAGCCAGGCCAGTTTATGTTGGTATCTTTGAATGGACTGATCAAAATTTAAAGAATGACCTATCAGCTGGTTATGGGTTACCTAAAACGAGGTCATACCTGATTAATGTATTTTTCGTGCACACACTTCCCCATGTATTGTTGACTTTGATCTGTACAAACCCTTCACCAGGGTGAACAGCGTTCTGTAGACGTACACTAAACTCGGAAGCCTCTGAAAAATATCATATATTTACAATGAAGACAGCATAATTATATGTAAATTTTTTATGGAGGTGGTCGATTTACTTGACTTCATAATAATATTGTGATATTTACCTATCAATATCTTAATATTGTTCACAAAATAATAGCCTAATCTTGTTTTGAGACAAATTATTGTTCACACCAAACAATATACAAAAATACTAGATTAAAAAACAAGAAACAAAGCAATATCAAGAAAAAACCAGCAATCCCCAGCAAGTTTTTTTTATCATATATCCTACTCATAACTACTGATCTATCTATTTTTGAAAACAGTGACTGTGACCTTGATGCTATGGGGCTCAAATGCAATCCAAAGAGAGGTTTTCAAAAACGAATGCTATACAAGTTTTATAAAAAATATCTTATACCTAAATCTAGTTATTGACTAGAAACTTATTTTCTATTTTAAGTAACATGGCCTTGACCCTTAGGTGGTGCCAAATGCTATCCAAAGTAAAGTCTTAACATAATCTTGCTATACACAAAGTTTATTTTAAATATCTCATTTTCTGTAAAACTCATTACTATACAACACTGCAACCTGATAACTTACCCTCTGTTTTGTAGCACATTACTGCAGCATGAGAGAGAACAAAACATTCACTGACGTTAGCTATATCTATACCAGGGCAATCATCTAGACGTTTCTCTGTACCATTACAATCTGGTCCACGCATCCAGCGTAGATCTGTTGTAGCACGCATACGCACATCTACATTGTAATATCTGCCAAGAAAACAAAAATAAAACAATAATTATCAAAAATGAGTCTAAAAAATAACGTCATGATACCTATTCAACAATATGAATGACAGGATTTTCCATTAATGATATGCCTCAGATGTTTAGGGATCATATCTGTTTAAAATGAAACAAAACAAAACATTTGAAAATTCAGTCACAATATTTCTGCTCATATTTTGCTTCTTCAAAAGTAAATTATATCATATATGTCTCATGAACACCTAATAAATGTTGAGCAAGTATCATAATTTGTTAGCTACTTTGTATAATTCTGTAAGTGAACACAAAATAATGCTGTATATGCTACAAACCTTACAGTATTTATACAATGAGACTAGTATTATTTAACTACATGGAGTTTATTTATAAATTTATGAATTGTAATGCATTAGTCACAAATTAATTATGACAACCTGTTTCCCTACTTTACTCTTTTTTTATTTCATAGTAATAAAATAAACCCATATACAAGACTGACTAATTATACATTGTAAATTTTAGGTTTTATGACTTAATTGACTGTGTACATTTATTGTAAATTACCACTTCAATCATTTACTCACTATAATGCAGACAGAGTCTACCTTTACATACAAACATATCTATCTTAAATATTTGTTCATGTATTCAATGAAACATTAAAAAACAAAACGAAACTAAAGACATATTATACCATATTTCAGAAGTTTATGATTATTACTGTAAAACTCCTACGACCCAATCTAATTTGCATGTGCCTCCATTATAGAGTTATTATAACTATATATAGCCTGCAATGCCCGCTGCAGTCTGACCAAGCCAGGCTCTACACTGTTGGCAGCTTGATTAATTTTTTTGTTACACTGATGTTTATACTGAGGTTTGCGCAATAGCTCAGTTGGTTAGACCACTGGCTGTCACTCCTGAGGTCCTGTGTAACACCCTTCGGATTTTTCATAGACACTTTCAGTGTTTCCCACCTACCTAGAGTTTTACTGGTAAGAAATCCAGGTAATCCTCACATGTATCAGTGCTATACACTGGGCATGTAAAAGAACCAAGGGGTCTATTTAATAAGAGCTAGGGACTGGTTCCCGGATTCCCTTGTATCTCATGGGTTTCTATGTAGTGACTAGTCTATAGTCATGTCTACGTCCTCACGAGGGGTTTGACATTAGTGGAAGATAGATAGATAGATTTATTTTGGTTTTAAAATTCCTTTAACTTTAATTTGAATGGACTATAACAAATTTAAAGCAGGACAAATCCGTTACAGTTTCTGATTGTTAAGCCTGTGTTACATTGACTTGTATTGTTAATGACAGATTTATATTACTAAGGCGACTAGAGTCAGATCACTGTGAATGTTGACAACTCAGATATACAGTAGTACATGTACTTTGATACAAAGTCATCCTTTAACCAACAGACAGCGCCGCAAATCAAACACAAAAATCTAACAAGGTCAAGGTTACTTAAATATATTACATCATGTTGACAAATAAACAAAAACGCTTGCAAATAGATTAAATGTTGACAAATATCAACAAAATATTGGAAAATCTATAAAAATGTTGACAAATAAATACGGGATATTTAAGGTTTTTTTTATAAATACAGGATTTATTTTCAATTTTTCATCAAGTGGTATGAAAATAAATATTTCATGAGTGGCAATAGTCACAAGTGAAATATGATAATTTTCTGTTTATATAATTTTTCTCTTTTTTTGACATTACAATTTGAAAGACCTTAATTTTTGTGTATTGGCTGAATTTAGAAGAAAGTATTCAAGCATTTAGACATCAGTGAAAATACGAAAAATATGTTTCACTGCTTTGAAAAATATATTTTTACAGTGAAAATATGGAAAATGAAAATATTCATTTTATCTCATCAATATTTCCCAATATTTAATTTATAAATATGTAATAAACAACAGTCAATTAAACGTGAAAAGTGATTAAACAAATAATTGACCTACTTATAAGCATAACCTCCCTGGTATCCTTTTTGTCTACAGATGACAGCAGCATCTTTGTCATCAAAATTCTCTGCACACATGTAACCTTTCTGTCCCATATATTCTATAAGAACAGGACCACTCCCTATCCCTGGGGCATACTCCTCTATATCTACATCTATACCTGTAGAAAAATGTGTACAATATGAACATAATTGGTAATGTGTACAATATGAACTCAATTGGTAATGTGTACAATATGAACTTAACTAATAATGTGTAAAATAAGAACATAATTTGTAATGTGTACAATATGAACTTAACTGGTAATGTGTACAATATGAACTTAATTGGTAATGTGTAAAATATGAACTTAACTAATAATGTGTAAAATAAGAACATTATTGGTGATATATGTACAATATGAACTTAATTGGTAATGTGTACAATATTAACTTAATTGATAATGTGTACAATATTAACTTAATTGGTAATGTGTACAATATGAACTTGACTGGTAATGTGTAATATATGAACTTAACCAATAATGTGTCAAATGAGAGAGTAATTGGTAATGTGAACAATATTAACATAATTGGTTATGTGTACAATATGAACTTAATTGATTATGTGTACAATATTAACATAATTGGTAATGTGTACAATATGAACTTAATAGGTAATGTGAACAATATGAACTTAATTGGTAATGTGTACAATATTAACATAATTGGTAATGTGTACAATATGAACTTAATTGGTAATGTGAACAATATTAACATAATTGGTAATGTGTACAATATGAACTTAATTGGTTATGTGTACACTATGAGCTTGATTGGTAATTTGTACAATATTAACAAAATTGGTAATGTGTACAATATGAACTTAATTGGTCATGTGTACAATATGAACTTGATTGGTAATGTGTACAATATGAACTTTATTTATTGTAAGCTGGGTTCAAATCCCACCATGGATCCAGGATGTTGATTTTTATGTAAATAACATGTTTGTGGTCTGTGATTTTCTTTCATTTTTCTTTTTTTGCAGAATCTTAAATCTGTTACATTGGGAACTTTAATGTTTCAATTAAAAGACAAGCAACCAGTTAATGTCACAAAACTTAAGGTCTTCTGCCATCAATAATAGGTTTATACCTTCAGAAATGCCTGGTTCCGTATCCAGAGAAGTCATATTAATCGCCAATTTGATTTTATCATAAGTGATGATAAGTCAGTTGGGAAAGGCTTATGTTTGGCCTCTAATTTATGAACAAAAATAAATGATTGTCCTTCATGGGTGTCTACTAATTCATATCAAATTCTAATAAAATTCAAATAAAATGAAGATTTACCAATTGCTCTTTCCCTGGAGCAGACGACAGATGCGTATTGTTTAGATTTACAACCAATTCCTCCAAATGATTTCTTACACTGATCGTAACTCATCTCCCTTCCTGTACACCCTGAGCTGGAAAACCCAATTTTAGCCGTCTGAAAACCGAATGCATCACAGCACAAGCTTTTACCATACGGGTAGCCCATAGTGCGACAGACTACAGATGCCTCTCTGTCATCAAAGCTGTCTGCACAAACAAGAAAGTAAGCACCATTTTTCCAAACTTTTACAGCACCATAACTGTCAGCTTGATCTGTATAAACTGTAGAGAAAGATAATAAAAACAAAGAAGTGTCAACCAGTTGAGGTTTGAAAAACTTATTGGATACAATCTTAAAGTAAAAAGATACATGTATATTATAAATAAGAAATAAGGCTTAGCACATAAAAAGAGTGAAGTAATTATGTATTTACAATAAACATTAGGATTTCATCATATATATCCTTTAAATTTTTTTCATTGGTTTTTACATAAAAGTGCAAGACAACACAGTATAGATCATATGGGTTATATCTAGCTTTACTGTTGAAGACCTCAGGTGCGCGTCTGTGCGTTATTTCAGGCACAAATAACTGCACCTGAGTGTTCTGTAAGCTGGATAGCTTAAAATTCTCACATGAAAGAATCTGAAGACAATTGCGGTCTTGAATCTACAACAGTGAGAAGCAAGTGGTTTGAAGTGAACGATCTTTACCACTCGGTCACAGACTTCCCATCTGCTAATATTTGTAAATCTTTTCTAAAACTGAATTGTATAATTATGTAAAGTGGTGTGGTTTAGTTCAAACTAATTTTCAGGTAGAAATTCATATTAACATTTTATTTACCCATTAATTTTGTTTTAATATAAACCCTAGCAAGAAAGTCTTTGAATTGCCAGTATATTATTAATCATGATTTTAATGGAAAGTTCAGAAATTACAAAAGCATATCAAGATACAGTTTAAATTTACTTATTTCAGTCTGAAAAATGTCTCAACATTTGCACTCTGTACCAATAAACCTTCTCAAAACTGAAGATTTAAAAAGCTTTAAATATCAAGGATTTCTACAGAAGGAAGAAAATGTCCTAATAATAAACTTCAAGTGATAATTCATGCAGCTCCATGTAATATATACATAGTTACATTATAATTATCAGTCATAACCTTATCTGACATTAAGCTCCAAGTATTATAAGGTGTACCGTGTACATAACTTACCATATCTTTTACACCTGACACCAGCATCTCGTTCATGGTCATTGCAGGTTGACTGGGCAACCATCCAGCCCATACTAGGACATGCAAGGAGACTACTCTCACTATTATCACACGTCATACCAGACAATACTACCGGCCCACTTCCGCGTCCGTAATATGACTTCATATAAGCATCTCCATCGGGGAATCCAAGCTGGCGACACGTGACTCTCGCATCATATGCCGACCAACTAGAATCACATACTGTTCCATTCTGACCATCAAATTCTATTTCAACACGACCATAAAAGTTTGCCATCTTGTCATTGACAAGTTTAAGACGAACACCTGATGAACAGAAACAAGATGTTTGAATTCACTCTGAGAATATTTAGGTTATAATTAACAATCTCAGTATTACATTATAATTTAAGAACCTAAGATATATGGCATGAAGCATTGCTTAGTTTACCTCTACCAAAGTTATATGATCCATGACCTTAATGTCTCCACATCCTGATCAAATGACCTGTCCTTCTAAGTAACATTGAAGAATCTAGGCCTTTTCCAGCCACAGAATGTAGATGTAATGATGAAAAGTGTCAATGATTATGTTGATTTCTTGACTTTGCATGTCATATACATGTATAAGTATGGCCTAATGGTTATCTTTAACTTACTTAAATCAAACCCCTGGTAAATTATATCATAGTTTACATAGACTTATCAATATAGGGTCTCACTCACTACAGCTCAAACAATCTTAAATCTTCTTGTGTAAAACTACATGGCCAAGAACTTGATAACTGCATTATAATACTCATTACTTTGTAATACATGTACATCTATTCTTTATTTTAAAATTTACTTCAAATCATTTTGTGTAAGAACATACCTGATGTTTTGTAACAAAGCACACCAGCAGCTTTTAAGGACATAGAACATTCTATTGTAACAGTCTCATTCTTTTTACATTCAGACAGATCATTTTCCTTGCCTGTGCAGTTCACATCTGTAAACCAGATTGGGGCGGTTCTTGTATAAATTTCTGGCACACCGAGGACAACGCCACCTTTAAATCCTTTACTGCGACACAAGACATCAGCGTCAGTATCATCCCATCCGTCAGCACAGATTGTTCCATTCATACCATACTGTTGGGCTATAACTAAACCGTGATTCTCTCCTAATATTGTATACTCAGTTTCTGAAATTAGAATTTTCATATCTTAATGTTTTCATGGTTTAGCAAGGCTTTTATGAAACATTATATCATGTTTAGATTTTAACATTATAATTCTGGGCAACAAAGTGTTAAGCTTTGTTAGTGTTTAAGTAATTAGTATTTAGAGCAGCTCAAACAGTCAGTCAAACAGGAAGGTATAATCAATTCTTATCTCATGTGTATGACACATGTTTCTATTGTGATTTTGTTGAATAAATCTACATTAATATGTTTTAATGTCATTTTGTTCTTTATTGTCTTATTCCAGTGATTATTTTAGAGAAATTATCCATTACTTGTTAAAAATTATTAGTTCAGCACTCTAGTATACGAGTTATGTACAAGCACGAGTTATGTACAAGCACGAGTTATGTACAAGCACGAGTTATGTACAAGCAGGGTTAAAAATTAGCCCTTAATAGTATCACAATCAATCAATATATAATAACATCAACCTATAAAAAAATGAAATACATTTTTATATTTCAACTATTTTAACTACCGGTATATAATTATATTGACAATAATTCATACTTGGGCTGGTTCCAGATTTAAAACATTGAACACTAGCGTAGTTATGTGTAACTCTATTACATGTCCCTTCTTGGAATGTACAGTCTGTATAAATATCATTGCCATCTGCTTTACATGTTAAATTTGTGTAAAACTTCCAGATTGGTTTAATACCTGAAATGTGAAAATGCATAAAAATACAATTATTTCTTAGGTTGGAAAAAAAAGACAAAATAATCATATGATTACATTTTGATGCAATACGTTATGCATGTTATTTCATTATGGCCATTCTCCTTCAAGCACATGCTGTTGATATATTAAACTCAATGAAAAAATGGTTAACACCATAATGTGTTGATATTAGATGTTACTTGATGAGAAAAATCGAAAAAGAGATAAATTGTTTTAAAAAGTCTTTACACAAGTCTTTCTAGTAAAAAAAAAAATACATTTTTTTCCTAAAAGCATTTACACCATACCAAAAGAGCCTGGAGCTAAAACTTTGGCGGCATCAAAACCCATTTCTTTGCACACAACTTCAGCATCAACTTGTTCAAACCCCTCGCCACAGACTACATTCCACTCTATCTGTCCTCCACTGTTAGGTGATAGTATTTCAACTCGTCCAGTAACATAGTTTGAACTTTTCTTTCCATCCATTATACGGACTGAAATTTAAAAAAATATATATAATCAAATGAAGTGATATCTGAGTTGTCAACCTTCACAATTAATATTCATAATGAGCAATGAGATGCATATAATGGTTACATGATAATGTTAAAAGAAAAATTGACAGGTCACAGTACAAAATTGATATGCTGCAATATATGAACAATCCTTCCTATAAAAAAAGAAGTTACAATTAAACAGAATAATTATAATAGCTGTACACATAAATATAGTATAACAGAAAATAACACAGCTACATGGAAGTCAAAAGCATATTTTTGCCAATCATGAAATAATAATTTTTTTAAACAAAATAAGAAAGAGAAAGTATCAGTTACAAAAGCCTTTATCAAATGCATTTTAATTTCTAAACCATTAAAACATTCAGAGTATAAATATTGTCATATAGATTAATTAGATGTGTGTAACTGATATGCTTTTCTGTTTATTTGCAAGAAGTTTTGCATATTTATGTATTCCACAAGCTGCCTTAATATCGTTATAAATAACACCTCTATTATTACTATAGTCCTACCTTTTCCATAGCAGTACACACCCACATCATGACTGTGATCTAAACAATTACGTGATGTCACTGACTTCCATCCTGCATTGGAGCATTGAAGTAAAGACTTTTCAAGACCTGAACATTCATAGCTTGTCAAAACAACATCTCCCTTTGCCAATGGGAAGTTGCTACAAATCACACAAACATATATGTACATGTATAAAGGAATATGCAATATAAAATAGATTAGAGTTCTTACAAATCAGCCTGTTCCATTGTTTAACAGTTCTAGAAAATACCTTCAAGAAAGACCAATCAGAAATAATAAGCCCTTGTCTGATAAAGTGTATGCTAACATTGTAATAACTTGATATTTGTATGTCATAATGATTTATTAATACAATATGCAAGTCAGTTATAAGTATAACACAGTTCAATCAAATTTATCAAAATGTTCAGTCAATATATCAATCCAAGTTACATTCTGTAAGCTAGTTGGATGCATATATTCCCTGTATGCTTTTTATTTACCTGTAAGGTTCACCTTGGGTAAAATTTTTGTTGATTTCTTGGCAAACAACAGAAGCCTCTGTCACTGTCCAATCAAAATCACACACAGATCCACTTATATCATCACTACTTATTTCAACACGCCCATAATTAGAACCACCATCAGCTAGATAGACAGTTGGAGCTACAAGAAAATGAAAGCATATGTAATGACATCTACCTGATGAGGAATGAAGAAAAGTACATCAAACATAATATTATCTAGCTTTATTGTGGCAAATATATTAACCATGGACCTTAATTGACAATTAAAGTTGTGATATTAACCTTTTTTAAAATTAAGTATTGTATACAATAAAGTTGGTTGCACATGTATTTTAGATGAACTTGGTTTTTGTCTGTAAATTTATAGATCTAATTAGATATACATGTAGATTAGACTTAGACTTAAAATCTATATCCAGAACTATCGGCCATGAAAAACTTTTTGCACCAAAAACTTCTTCCATGTTAAATGTCAAAGTTGTGTCTATGTCCTCAAAGTGTTGATTAAATCAACTTACTATCATAAATGTGTGTGTATTTGCGTTTATTTATACTCGCCACCGATTGCCCATATGGGCGAGTCCTCCAGAAGAGTACTATCATAAAACTATATTACCTGAGCTCTTATAGCAGACGGCACCAGCTCGTTGGCTAACCAAACATGTAGAATAATTGCCCATCATACAATCTGTCAAAGACTTTTCTGTTCCGGTGCACTTTATGTCGGTCACTAATGTGGGCGTTCTGCGTCGTTTGTGATAGTACGCTGCAACGCCTCCTTTGAAGCCCCGCCCCATCGTCCGACAGAAGACGTCTGATTCAGTATCTGTCCAGCCTGTGGCACATATTTCACCCCAAATATGTTGTAAGTAAACGTCAACACGTCCATACGCCGAGTCCGGGCTATCACCAACAAGCTGGAACTGTGGACCTAAAAGTACACGTAAACAACTAAAAATATCAGCATTTTTTAATCATAATTGACATACATAATATTGGTGTTAATAATTTTTAAAAATAAAAATGTTTTTAAAAGGTCATAGAATCTACATACATTGTATGCATGTTAAAAATTGCGTGACTTTCTGTGTATGTAGGATAAACTGCCATAAAAACACCAAGTTTTTTTGTTTGATGTCTGTTTAAATTTGAGTTACACTGTAGTTTCTGAGGATAAGTTACATAAATTGCTAGAAAATTGCTAGTTCTTAACGGAAATAACTATAATATTAGACGTCAAATTGCTTTCCATATAGCTCCTGATATATGGTATCACCTACCATTGTCTGGTGTGTTGTCATGACAACTGACCGCCACATATTGGGTCGACTGACATTTTTGACTGTCATATTCACAATCCATTATACTGGTATCATTTGGCTTGCATTTTAGATTTTTCCGACCAAGCGTTGAAAGATATGAGCCGTATACACCTGGCTGTAACAAACTTCCGGTTTTATGACCTAGTTCTTTACACACCAACACAGCATACTCTGGTTTGAACCCCTCGCTACAGAAACCTTCCCAAGCGTCCGTCTCAAAGTATTCAACTATACCGGAGTTCTCATTCCCTCCAGATAATCTTACTGAAATATAATACAAAATGAGGTAAGCTTATAAACATTGCCTTTATCTGACCACCATGGATTACAAATATCATTGGTACATATTAACATTCTTATTAAGAGGTGTATCTTTGTAAACAGCTTATTTCTTAAATTTGTCTATCAATTAACTTGAACCATTTGCATGATTTATATTATTGTCAAAAGTTCTTCTTTGAAGAAAATAATAAATTTACATTTTGTTAGCCTATTCAAATTGCAAATATATAGAGGATATTCAAGTTTTTTCTATGAATACATGATTTATTTTCATCGAGTGGTATGAAAATAAATATTTCATGAGTGGCGGTAGCCACAAGTGAAATATGGTAATTTTCATGCCACAAGATGTTTATTATATACATTTTTTCTTTTTTGACATTAAAATTTGAAAGACTTTCCCTTAAATTTTGTGTACTGGCAGAATTTAAAAGAAAGTAGTCCGGCAAGACACCAGTGAAAATACGGAAAATATGTTTCACTGCAGTGAAAAATAAATTTTTACAGTGAAAATACGGAAAATGAAAATACGCATTTTATTTCATCTATATTTCTCAATATTTCATTTATAAGTATATAATAAAGTATATTAACTACTAGCATTAATATGATATATATATGTACATTCCTAAAACCATTCATGTTTAGTTTTTAATTTTGGCAAGTTTAACGTGCTTACCTTTGCCAAAACACGTGACATGTGCGCTCTCCTTACATTGGTCAGTTTTTACCCGCCATCCGTATGTAGAGCACATGAATACATTAGTGAGGGTGTTACAGATGAGTCGGTTAAGGAAATAGGGCGGTACGTCTATAGAACTTCCGGTAGGTGTCTTCACTATACCGTCAGAATAACCCTTCATTTTACAAACCTGATTAAAAGAAAGAAAAAAATAATAAAGAAAGCAAATTAAAATAACACTTATAGGAGTATAGCTGAAAGATTTTGTTCAATGCTTCTTGGACACACCATATTTTATTGTTAATATATACATGTATAAATACTCTCATACCAACAAGGTGCTCTCGAAATCTAATGAACAGCAAAGTGATTGGACTAAAGTTTTTACAAAATTAGCGATCGACCCTATCCCAATAACTTATAGGTACAACTTGATATTTAATATTACGGAATTATGAAACATATTCTTTCTCATATAATTTATCAATTTATTGCAAAATACGTTTGCTAGACGTTTTATATATCATACTTTTTGATAAACATTCGCTTTTACAGTTTTCCCATGAATTATTTTATTTTTAAGATATCTCTTTTGAAATTGGCCATTACCTTTCATGCATATATCTTAGGAGTTATAAAATGATGTACAAGTCGAACGTTTATCCGAATTTAACATCGAACAAACAAATTTCAATATACTCCGGATACAAAAATACCAGGAGCATTTCGTTTGTTTAAACCGTTTTATAGTATTCGTATAATACGCAATAATGTGTTAATGAGAAGGAAAAAATAAAAATAAACCAAACGTCACCCTAACTGAACTATCATTTCAAAGCAGAATATTCAGATTTGTATTAAACTTGATAAAGAAAAACAATCAAGACGTTGTAGGAAAGGTTTGTCATACCAGGAAAGCATCATTATCAGTCCATTCCTCCTCAGCACAAATAGAACCCTTCAACCCATCATACGTTATCTGTACCCTGCCTGTAGACGGTACCAGCCCATCCACAATATCTAACTGTACTCCTGTAATATATGACATGACATTTATATATGACAGTAATTTGTGACATGATCAAAAGCTTATGTATCCTCCATATTTAATACTCAATCATTTATTTCCTGTCACAAAATGCCAACATTCTTCGCAATTTAATGCTCTTGCGATTATTTGCGTCAATTTTAAATAAGAGCTATAATCACTATAAACAAGAAACAGAAACTATTTCTGCCAATATGAAATACTATCTAAAAAATGTCACAGGGTCAAATTAACATATTACAATATCTTTACATAGCATTTATTGAAAAAATACAAAATACTTTTTTTTAATTGCTAAAGGAATATATGTGACACATTTCACTAATGTGACTATAGTGTAACTTACCTGTTGCTTTATAACAAAGTACAGACGCGGCATTGCAGCCAAAAAGAAGAGGTTCTCCCCATTGAGTATAATTACACTTCTGGATACTCGATTCCTTGCCACTACACGTGGTGTCAACCAACCAAAACGGTAAATTGGGCGTTGCAATCGGTCCAAAAGCCACGCCTCCTATGAAACCCTTGCCTAATTCCTTGCACGTGACGTTTGCTGAGGCGTCGGTCCACCTATCATTACATAGCTGGCCCCATATACCATTGTGACGTACTTCGACCCGGCCCCAGTTATCTTGTCCACCAGATAGCCGTATAGCAAACCCTAGAATGATAAAAATGTAGGTGCCTATAATCATACAATCCTTTGCTTTATGGCGGAAACAGATTCAACCCACGCGATCATTGCAGACAAAGATCAGCCGTCACATTAATACACTCGGATCATTGTCTGTGCTGCTCGCTTTTCTACCAGTACATATTTTTTAAATTTCCCAAAAATATCTGAACGGTTTGGTTCAGTTTGAAATATGGACAAGTCAGTTTAAAATATTTAGCGTGGTTAGAGTTAATAATACTTCCGATATCCAACAGAATGTAACAGATCCATGGGGCTGACTTTCGACATCATTTATCAAAATAGAGAAAAACAGAATTCCTAAAGAAAGTCCAACACGACAAAATTGAAAATGTTGCAGGCTCGGTTTGATTGAGCCTGTTCATGGACGGTACTGGAAAGCGCAAGTTACCCTCTACGCCCCCCCCCCCCCCCAGCACCGGCTTAAGCAGAAAAAGTCACAGAAAGTGGATATATCTATAAATATTACCAGTGTCGACCTTGTCGGCTGTTGTGTTGTGGCATACGACAGCAGCACGATGGGAGTAGTCACACATTCCACGGTAACTGATGTTCGGACAGTCACTCAGTTTCGTCTCATTTCCGGTACACGAGTATTTGTATGATCTGTCCACATTACTAGAAATATAGTAGTAAAATAGTCAATGCAAATAGTTCAAATAGTTCAATATAAAAATATTTAAAAAATATACTATGTTGAACAGGGTGTTTGTTCAACATTAATGCCCAGATATTATTTTGCATAAACAAAAAAACAAACAAAACAAACAAAAAAAACACAAATACCACAACAAAACAACACAACAAACGAAACAACACACTGTTTGCCATCCACAAATTCAATATAATATAAAAGTGTAAAATAATAAAAAAATGTTAGAAAAACTCTTATATCCACTAAAGCATTGTGTGACAGAATTATAAACGATATATGACTAAAAATAAATGCCCTAATAAATGGACATTTTAAGACTTATCAAATACAAAAGCATCACAGATAATGATTAATGCAAAATTAAGAGATATAAGTATAAGAAATTGTCTATATTATTGGCAAAATGAAATGTACATGTATGTAAATAATTAAATATCATATACATTTGTATTAAAAATGTAAACTTTTATACTGAGGAGAAATCAAACCAAAAAAACTATGAAATTCTTGCAAACAAGTTCCAAAATTTTATCAAAAATATCTTATTACCAGAGACATTCCACATACATGGACATGTGTAAGTGGCAAATTAGAATAACTTTAAAATCTTAGCTAAATAATTATATTTATTTTGGTCGGGGTACAAGAATTTTTTACAATTTGTAATGTTACTTCCTTTTCTGACAAAAAATCTGGAACATGCTTTGTTCATTAAAAGCACGGGACCAGGGGGTAAATAATACAGAAATTGTTAAATATTTTATTTTTCACATTTAGCAAAGAACAGACGTAAAAGGAGCAAAAAAAACTTATAAATAACCAAAACATGCGCGTGCTATATTTCACGTAATTGAAACTGTGATGTTGCTTTAATGTATGTGACCTAATAATATAAAACGAAAAGGTGAATCAATTTTGGCTTAATCTTGTTTTCTTTATATGGATCTTTATATGAAATTTAACTTTATATTTATAACTTATTTCAGACAAAACTAACAATTTTGCTCATGAATAAATTATAGATAAATAATGTTTGTGTATACAAATATGCATATGATGAAAGTATAATTATAGATTAGAATCGGAAATACAAGCAATGCTCACGTTTCAATACATCTTACATGCTGTAAGCTGAATGTACTATGATCAATGTTATATTAAACAAGAAATATCTTTAAAAAAGATAATCGGCGTAAATTCAGTGCAAAATGTCTCATAGCTTTAGAATATTTTCAAAATTAATGATATTTATACTTTATAACAATATAAATGTCTAAATTGAAATATATTTGGTGGTTACTAGTATAATCTACGACAGTTGTCTAAACTTAGCTGAAACATGTATGCTCCTATAATGTCAACAAATTAGTCATGTTATTATAGATGCTAGAAGCTTTTTGTCACCGTGACTTTTGACTACTGGTTTCAAAGTCAATACCAGATAATAACCAACCACACTACCAAATTTAGAGACTGCAAAGGCCACAATCAGCTGACAACTTGAATTTTATTGTTAAATAATATTAACTTATTATGTATCTGACCTTCATTTTGTAAAAGCACTTCTGTGCATAAAATGCTGCAATTATTAGGTCATGATAATAACACCAAAATCTTTTGTTGTTTATATCTTTTTATTTATGAAAGAATACAAACTGTAATAAACAATCAATTGAACATATCAACTCTGAAACTATACTATTTATAATGCCTTCTTATCTATCTGGCAATGAAAATGAATAATTGAAGACTTAAATCAAAAGTTAAACATAACCTTACTAGTAAAAGTTATAATTATGTATTTTATAAAAAAGAATTTCTATTAAAAACTGCACAGCTTGACTAGTATTTTGTATATACTAGGGGTATGAGGTGGAGGTACTAGTTAAGCCTACTGGCATGGCTACGTGTCGTACACCTACACAGGTTATATTTTACAATGTACTTTAAATGTGGAATGTAAAATATAAATGTTGTTTCCATATATACAGAAATATATCTATTTATCTTATAATAAGCACTAAACTCAATTTTGTATAACCCATCAATGACACTGATTATCAAGTGAGACATTTTTCAGATTGAGGTTGTCAAATTGGGGTGTATTTCGGTAAATTTACCTACCGGTGTAAACAAACGCCGAATAACTATGAATAAATTAATTTGTTATTACTACGCACAAAAAAAATAATACTTAAAGTTTTGCGATTCTTTATGATAATGTTGCATTTTAAATATATTAATTTTCGCAATTCATATCAGCTCTGGAGAATCTTTTTGTTGATCAAAACTATCGTTCATTTTCATAGAAACAGAAAAGCTACGGCAAATAAAGTACGAGTGAGTAGTAATCGAATGTTTAAGTAAAGGCTGAAAAACAAAAAGTTGGGTTTTGTTGTTAATATTATCAACAAAATAAATTGTACATGAAATCATATGTACTGTATATTTTTGTATTTTGATATATCTTTGTTTTGGTCATAACGTTGTGATATTTAGTTTACGATTGTATAAATATTTTTAATACAACTTTATTCTTAGAGACAAGTAAACTAAAGATTACGAATTTGTCCTTAAATTTCATAACAGCCAGTCTTTCCACCAATGAAAAACACCCTCTTTTAGCTGAAGATTTTGTAACTAACAATTTCATTTGTTACAAATCTAGGTCAAAATCCATTTTAATACAGCTACGCCGAAAAACAATAGGGTAAATCGTTATAACCTCAATATCAAAAAGCAATTAATTACGCACGATGTGATGTAAATAAAGTATAGGTTATATCAAAAATATTTCACTATTTCCAATGTATCACAGAATTGTGATAATTATATAAATAATGTAACGTATATCGGTAGTAGCACAGACGTAACGTGCACTTTTTTACCTCCTTATGTAACGAGATAATATCGTGTTTGCACGAGATACCTCGATCCCACGATATTATCTCGTTTCCGTGCGATAATATCTCGCTCTCACGAGATAAATAATGAACTGCACATGTCACCTATGTGCCAATGTTGTAAGAAATGTAACAACATACATTAAGCAAAGACACGCTTCACACTGTAAAACATGTTAGACTTGCGCAGTTCACGGTGTAAACAAAATAATCTGTTATTAATTATTAATATGACGATAATCTTTAAACACTCAAGACCATATGTACATGTATATGTACATATTCTAAAATGTGATATAACTTTATTCGAACAACACCCTTAATATATCCATAGAATATTTCTGAAAAATGTCAACAGAGAGGTAACTATTGAAATTTATCTTTATATCTCAGTGTTTGTAGGATTATCGGTAGTAAACAAAACAGTATGAAAATACCAGAATAAACCGCACATTATATACATCAATATAATGATTATAGTTTAAACTAAGATGTCATGTTGCTGTAGTAACCTAATCAAGAACTTCATACTAAAAAAATAAGCTAGCGTCTGTAAAAGGCTGAAAAATGATATGAATAATGTAATGTGTTATACCTGAAATCTGAGGGCCCTAGAGCGGAGCAGCATTCTGCAATACCATAGACAAAACCAAGCTCTTTACAAACAATGGTGGCAGAAAAATCGTTCCAACCTTCATCACAGGCATCGCCCCATTTATAATTGTACATGACCTGAACAACACCATAGTTCGTCTGCCGCGACATTGACTGTAGTCGAACTGTAGTAAAATAACAGAAAATGATAATTATCAAAAGCTAGCTATGTCTGTCTTATCGGTAGTTTTTTAAATAAATGTATTTCTCTTTCTGTTGTTTTTCTTTACTGAACAATAATCGGTTCCATATTAAAAACAAAGAAATGTCATTGCACAAACATGGCCAGGTAAGTTATCATTATTTTATTATAGCAAACGTTATTTCTACGATATAAACAATGTTAAGAATATCCACAACAGAGAACCACGCAATTAAGACCACTTTGGTCTAGTCCCGTTGGTGGTCTTAATAGACGGCTTTTACTGTAGTTTTAATTATTCTAGACTACTCCAGACGTGTTAACTTTATTTAGAGACCTATTTTCCTCTCAGGATAGACTGATGTCTTTATAAAGCATTCAATCCATATAGAGTGAAATATGCCGTTCATATAATAATAAGAAATACAAGAGTTGTTGGTAGGACGTGCTGTCAATTGGCGTCACAATGAAAAATATCTAACACAAAGTCACAAAAAATTCTGTAATGTCTTTCTCAGGCGTTTTGTATTTAAAGGATTAAAAAAACAAAAACAAAAACAAAAAAAAAACCCATAAAAATATTTCTTTTTATTGAATTGTGTGATGCCCAGCCAACATTAAAATTATACTGGCTAGGTCATTTTTTATCATGTAACACGCTTAAATTCTTCGGTACTTACGGAGTGGATTAAAAATCAAAATTTTCCAATCAGTCCCTTAATATTCAGTTAATATGACATATCCTTTCAATAGGCTTTACCTATTTTCATATTATTTTCTACATATGGCATTTAATCTATATATATTTTTGGATACGCATTCTCCAGCTTATGTTTTTCTATCCAATCCACTAATTAAATATACTTAATTATATGTACGAAACACTACTCTTTGTAATTAATTAAAAACTACCAAACGTTGCAAGATAAGTATATTACAACATATATTTTCGATTTATTTTGTGTTGTATACCCTTATTGACATGATGGTATTTGTCCTATGTATTTATTTACTTGTAATATCATAATAATTGAGATAGGTTGCTTTGTTGTGTCATTAAATATTAGTATATAATTAACGTTTTCTTATTGCTAATACTATGTTACATTTTACTACATAATATTTTTATTTGATTACGTACTGTGTATGCATAGGCATACTGCACGGATGTTTAAAAAAATCTTGAAACTCTTGAATAACGTTGAACTAATCGTTCTCCCTTACTTTAACAAATATTATTTATAGCAAGTACATGGTATGATTGTATGGCTCGTGATCGCAACAACGACAAAAAATATATACCTGAACATCAACTTTCATGTTTAAAATCAATTATAGTTCGAATACATGAATATATCGGAAGCTTTCCTCAATTAAATACCGTTTAAATTCGTGACTCGACAAAATGAGAGTGTCTGAACATACTTGGATCATGCAAAAACAATATTGATTGTCTTACCTTATTAATGATTGGTTATTATATAGGTTCTCAGGGCACGTGAACTTGTGTTTATGACTGCGGTTGTTGTCATAAAATTTACCAGCGGAGGAATGCACGTAAAATATATTAGAGTGAAAATTTAATGACATTTTCACTGTAGTTTAAATTAAATGCTGATAAGTTCCTATATGATATATAGAGATGTATTACACATGTCCGTGGCCGAGTGATTAAGGTCGTTGACTTCAAACCACTTGCCCCTCATCGCTGTGGGTTCGAATCCCGACAGGGACTTTGGATTCTTTCATGTGAGGAAGCTATCCAGCTAGCTTACGAAACGTCGATGGTTCTACTCAGGTGCCCGTTCGTGCACGGAGGGGCACCTGAGATTTTCCTCTACCAGTAAAGCTGGAACGTCGCCAAATGACCTATACTATGTCGGAGTGACGTAAAACCCAAAATCGAACAAACAAACAAACAAAAACATGTTAACCATAACATCATGATACAGTTGTATTGAATAATAAAGTAGTTAAATGGTAAGGTAGTCTGACCACAAACAACTCATTTACATTTTGCAGTTGCGTGTGGTTGCCCATATTGTCATGTCCCAATACCAGAGGCGACTGTGGTTCTTTTATGTGACCGGTGTACAGAGAGCACCGATACATTGGACCTCAGTTTGTAAGGTCTCGTTCAAAACACTATTAGTATTGTAAGTGGTAATGCAGGGGATCGAACCTGAAACCCTAAAATTACTTGTCCAGCATGTTACCACTGGACCACGAAACTTCGTCATGAGATAGAAAAACATGAAAAAAATTGTTGCGTTTTTCATTTTTTTTTCTTTTCTTAGTAGCGACCTAGTGGTGTGATTTGTTCTTCTGCTTAAGCCACGAGATAGCAAATTTCTTCTTGTGACTCGTGGCTATGCGTCCTAGATTTTTTTAGAAGATTGTTTTTTCTTACTTGTACATGTATATCGTGGCCACTATTAAATGACTTTAATATTCATTTTTGTCTCGTTACAACAAGTTATCAAGACATGCTTTCATTGTTTTCTTAGCTACTATATCGTGGCCAAAGAAAAATTCTATAAAAGAAAATCCTCTCTGCTACCGTAGTTTTCAGAGCACACCAAGTCAGCGGTACAGGTTTGATTAACATAGACCAACCTCTCCCAATTGGCAACAACAATATGCGGCATTTTAAGCTTTTGTCATTTTCCTGTAAACGTTTGCCATTTACACTCTGTAACATTTATTATTAAATATCAAAACAATAAAAAGACGAAAAATTCACTTTGTCCTCGCTTCATTACCTGATTAATTTTGTCTGTCCCGATGACTCAATCAATGTTTTGGTTTATATGTAAATTTCCCTTCAAATGTCATATACTGACATTTTAGTCATTAAACATTTAGCCTTTATTCACGGTAGGAAAATGAAGTAATTGAGAGAAAAAACCGCATAGTTTATCACAGATGCCAATAAAGTTCGGCGCATGAGGGAAATATGCGATGTTCTACTGGTTCATGCAATTTTGTGTCATTTAGTCTAGACAAATTCATAAACATACGCAGAAACCTTATGTCTTGTGATACGTATAAGCTGCAAATAAATAAAAAGATCGACGGTATCTTTAGGTATCGGTCAGTCAGTAATACCTTTTGATTGGGTTTTACGTCCCACTAACACAGTATAGGTAATATGGCAACCTTCAAACTTTACTGGTGGAGGAAGACTGGATAGGAAATGAGAAAATCCAAAGACGCTTGCGGGGGTCGGACCTACAGCGCTGAGCGACAAGTAGTTTGAAGTCAACGACCTTAAACACCCGCTCACTGACGCTCAAGGTTATTGATTGTTTTCAAACTCGAGGCAAAATGAGTAAGATTCATGTTAAAATAAATGTAAAGGTAGGAATAACGTCCGATAATAGCATTTTAAGTCAAAGTCTATCGTAGTTGTCCAATGATCGACTCACGCACCCTTTGGTATAACGTCCAATTATAAACTTTTTACAGCCTATACCTGTCGTATTTCCAATGATGGACTTTCACAGCCTTAATCTGTAGATTTACGAACAAGGGAAGGAACCAATACCTGTTGTATTATGACAAATAGCTCCAACATCCTCGTGATGATAACAGTTATGTCGTCCCCATCCACTGCTACGACACTGGGTGATCGAACTCTCTGATCCGTTACATACCAACTCGTCTAAAAATATTGGCATATCAGTTGAACCAGATCCGAACTTCCGGTTTGCAGTACCTTCCTAAAAATAGAAAAAGGCTATTGGTAACAAAAAGTTGCAGAAAGTTGACAAAAGTTGTGTAACCAAATTGAATTGCATATGTAATAGAAAGAGTATCGAAACACGAAGCTATCTGATTTGTACGTGGGCGCGTAGCCCCCGAGTATTATTCAGATTGCGGTGTGTTTTGATGTTCTTTCTCTTTTGTATCATAGTCAAACAATCAAGATGCCACAATATGAAACCCCGGGAAAAGGTAACCAATGAACGAGTATCTGAATATGATATTTCTGTCGCTTTACCTTTTTCTTCCGTCACAATAAGTAAACTCCAGCAAAAATAAGCCAATCAATTGGCATGCTCTGGAGTGCGGGTAACTAATACCTGCACTCCAGTTAACGCACTGTGCATGTATATGTATACGATTTAGCTCTGACACATTTTCAACAGAAAGGTCCCTTAAAACTATGTTACAAGTAAAATTGTATCTATGTAAAATAATCTTGGTGTGACATGATTTACAATGGAATCAAATAATATAAATAGAAACTAGAAATGTGTATGAACGACACGGATTTTTTCCCTTTTATTTTAGAGTGACAGAGTATAAACTTATACAGTTAATTCTGTACTTGGGCATAATCTTGGGGAAAAGTTCAATATCATAGCTGATGAAAATGTGTCAGAGTTAAATGTCAGTTACCCGTTCTCTAGAGCATGCCTTTGATTGGCTCATTTTATATATCGGGGGTTTACTTATTGTAACGACAGAGAAAGGGAACGCGACAGAAATATCATATTCAGATGCTCGTCCACTAGGGTTTCATAACAGGGAACGTGTGTTTATGTTTGACTATGATACAAAAGAGAAAAAATATCAGACACTCGGCAATCTGATTCATACAATATGATTTGTTTACGACTGAGTCTATAATTGAGTTTAGAAAATACCTTTATATTGAAAGGCTTACCTAAGTATCTGTATACTTACCCCCCAGATGTAACCAAGTTGTCGGCATATCACAGTTGCTGCTTTATTGTCTACCTCGTATTGGTCGTTACATATAGTACCCCATGGATTATCGCCGGCGTTACCGTCGGCACTCTGGATTTCTATACGTCCCTCCGAGGGATCGTTCCCATCTACTAGTCGGATATTGATTGCTGAAAACAATAATAAAATACTAATTAACACTGTTTAAATAACTGACAAGTGCGTCAACGGAAGTGTGACATGTAAACTGTGAGCGGTAACTCAAAGGTTATTTTCCGTATGTGTGGAAAGGTGATACAAGTAAAATGGTTTCCTGCGGGAACATTTTTACATTTTTAATGATATAAAGATATTTCATTTAACTATTTTCAACATTTTTTTTTATTTTATTTATTTATTTATTTATTTATTTTTTTTTTTTTTGGGGGGGGGGGGGCTAAAAAACGTTTGTATCAGGAATATAGTTAACAATAATCGATCAATATAGAAGGTCTTTGGAAAGTGGTGACCGTTGAAGACCGGTGAAGGCCGAAGATAAAACAATTATTTCTTTTTAAGAAAATGATTAAATAGGCCTACCATTTTATTAATAATTCCGAGCAAAAAAAAAAGTAAAGTAAACACACAAGTTTACGCAGAAAATATCTCTATTTATTATGGCAGATGCCACTACGAATATTTTAATTTTATAGATTTTCAGTATTTGTAAAATTTGAGATAGATTTTAAAGAAACATTGATAATTTTCAAACACATCATTCAAGTTTTTGCAACCTAAACGGTAAAATAATTATAGAAAATTAGAAATATCACGTAATAGGTTTTTGTTCTTAATTAGGTGTAGTTCGGACTAATTCCCTAGAGGTAAATCCGTAACGTATCGGCAAACGGTATTTAGCTAGGTTTTCGAAAGGTCAATTAACTAATCATGTACGGTTTACAGATCACATGCTCCTCCATGTACCGAAAACAGGTCACGTGCTCCTCCATGCCTCAAAAGTTAAACGCGTACCAATACCCTGCGGTCTCCAGACCGCAGGGAATAAGCACGAAGGTATAAGAAAAACTATTCATCTGTTAAGCAACACTGGTAGTCCAAGTCTTTGCCCAATAATGCTTCAAGAAATATTTTGTAGTCCAAGTATTTACTTAGTTACTAACTATAAGTATTCATAGAGATTGTGCGTTTAAATCATTTGTCTTTTAAGTATTTCCAAAAAGACTTCAAATATTTGTCGATCAGTATTCGAAGGTTTAAAGTGTTCACATAGACATGCTCGCCATGTGTTACAATTATTATTTCCTGTAATCATTTATAGTTCGAAAAAGATGTCTCAACTAGAATTATGTGTTCAAATGTCACTTGACGGTCTAAGAGTTTTAACTTGTCACTTTCAAATTACAAAGCAATAAGTTTTCAAAGTCAATGCCATTAGTATCGAAAAATATTTACACACTCAAATGTGATATCTTTATACTCAAATGTGATATCTTTATACTCAAATGTGATATCTTTATACTCAAATGTGATATCTTTATACTCAAATGTGATATCTTTATACTCAAATGTGATATCTTTATACTCAAATGTGATATCTTTATACTCAAATGTGATATCTTTATACTCAAATGTGATATACACGTATGTGTTCATATACTTAATAGTAACTCTCTAACTTGTTAAATTTACGAGTCAAATGCTCGTATTACAATGTATTTGTTAACACTAGGTAAAGGCCAACTCTAAGTATGTTCTGACCAAATATGAAAAGAACATCAAAACGTAAAGGCTTTATATGAGCAAAGTTAGATATCTTAGTAACTAATATGAAAGAAATAAGTCTCTATACAAGAGAAATTGGGAATTACGGCAATTTCATGTTCTATGCAGATTTTATTTCCAAATACATGTGGTCATTATACCCATGAGTACACAGCATACATACAAACATACAGAAACATAATATCAAGGTTATTAAACATATATAACATATATTTAACATTTACTATATATATTTGTATATTTGAGACATAAGTTTGGTTAAATATGAACAAAATAATCATATTACAGCAAGGATTAAATAAATGAAGCACAAGTTTTGCATGCATAATGATATCAATTAAGTAACATTACATTTATTTTCCTAGCTAATATAATTTACGAATATTCAACATTTGTTCTCAATTCAAACATTTTAAAGATAAATATTGATAATTTTCTTATAATAATTTCATTTTGAGATGTTAACAATTCAATAAATTTCGGTATATTTTGTTTTTTTTTCAAAAAATATTTATCTATGAGCTGTTTTCTCAAAACATTTTACTGTGGACATTCTAATAATACATGAAATTCATCTTCTAGTTTTAAGCAAACATTACATTTTCTTTCATTACATGTTTCAAGGTTGTACGGAGAGCATAAATTCAGTTTACACTTATCAGTACATTAAAGCTGCATTCCTCCAGATGAGCCATAATATTTTAAGAAAATCGACCTTTAGAAAAATGTTCTAAAATTTTAAGGAATGTAACATTATTCACAATTAAAGAACAATGAAAGAAATAATTAACATGTTATATGCTATTATTGACTGGTTTTGCAGTATCTATCACTGTATTTCTACTGCGTGACTAACGCATTTATGACTACTTTTGCACATTTTGTCCTACTTTACTTGGTTATTTTCGTAGATTTCAAATGTCCTCCCGCTACATCACTAAATTCTTCACCTTGTTTTGTTCCATTGAATTCTTTGCCTATTTTTATCATGTAAATTTTTTTATATGTATACATATGAAAATTTTACATGATAAAAATAAGCAAAGAATATATTATAAGATGATATGTATTCATATGTGTTACTTAGTATACGCATTTATAGCCTATTGTCACTCTATAAAGAATGGCTATAAAATAAATGCCGTTTAGATTTGTTTTATGTTGTATATCCTTTTATATCATTTGTATAAATGAGAGTTTAATTAATAATATATTTTTATGTATGTTTGTTTAAAATCTTACCTGTATTTGTGACCTTATCTATGTTTTGTGTATATGTTATTGTGCACTGTGTGCATGTCGTACAAGAGAAGATAAATGAAATGTTTGGTTTGTTTTAAATAATTATAACCAAACTACATCTTCATTTGTCCCCAAAAAATCGACAAAACCACAAGCTATACGAACCTGTGGTTAACATTACTTAATCTTTTGAAATATGAACGTTATGCTGTATCATGTAATTTATAAAATTCACTGATGAATTTATCAAACTTAATCTTTCCTAACCTATCATGTCAGTTGACATCATCTCACATCAATTCCCTACCCCAATAATATTCTGAACTGCACTCATATTTATTCTGACCGTAATACCTCTCCTAACCCTATCACTACATATATCAACTGTTATTATTCAACTGGCCTTATTTCCACTCGCCTTAGTAAGGTGACCTCACCATCACCTCATTTGAACTCACCTCATCTCAACTCAACACACCTCCTCTGAAATAACTTCACCTCAATTCACCACATCTCACTTGAACAACTAATCTCATATAACCTTAACTTTAATTACTTTACATCTCACCTCATTTCATCTCACCTCATTTCATCTCAACTCAACATGACACACCCCATCATTACTCGACTCACCTCAACCCAATTCGACTCACCTCAACTTAACTCAGATTAAATCATCTTCACAATATCCAATTACCGTACCCTTACTTATTTGATTACTTGGGTATATCATATATCATTAACGTTCATTTCCCTTACATAAGTCTATTAATCTTTATCTATATGTCACGGTTCAGAACTGTTCACTATTGAGGGGAGGTAGTGTGTAAGCGATCAGATAGCTCACTTGGTAGAACCGCGGTACAGTATTCCGAGGGTCCCGGGATCAAGTCCCAGTCAGGCTGCACATTTTTCTCACGGCACCCAACATGGGACCTTCATAGTTAAAGCTCCGAGTGCAATTTGTTGTAGGCTCATACTTGTGTACAATACACCGCGTTTCCTGGAATGGCAGGAACGTGTCACAATGAAGGTTTATGATAAGGTATGAACACATCTGCAGATGTCTGTAAATTCTAAATTTCACCAGTATTTGAATGTTGAATACTGCTTCAGGTAGTGCTTAGGGACTGAGGCGGTATTTTTTCCTTCAGAATACTTTAAAAAGTTAAGTCAATTATCATCTGACTTTGATTATGAGTAACGACTTATAAGAATAATACACGTGTTGGTTTTGTCAAATGTGTTTTTTTGTCCAGTCATCTAATTTGTAAATAAATAACAAGTTATGATAATTCAAGAGAATTTCAATAATTTGACCTTGACGCTCAAGGTCAATTAAAGGTCAAAGTCATACTACTATAATTCAACATGTCGATTTGGTAATATGTGTTGGTTTTGTTCAAGTATAAATCAAATCTTTAAAAAAAGGTTAAGACACTTTAAGCAAATTCCAATAATTTGACCTTATGAGCAAAGGTCATATTAGAATTATTCAACATGTCGATTTTGTAATATGTGTTCTTTTGTCCAAATATAAATCTAATCACCATCAAAACAGTTCGTCTTTTGACGAGCTTGACAGAAAAATGAACATAATGACACTTTAAACAATATGTGTAACGTTTCTGTGTGTGAAATATTTGTCTTATGTTTCAAACCAATTCAATTCTGCAGTTTTGTGATCATGATAAATGTATTTTATTGAATAATTTAATGAAAGTACAAACGCTTTCAAGCAATAAAGGAAAGCAAATGACACCAGCCTAGAAACATAACTTTTTTATTTCTTACAAAGATCAGATTGGGCATTTAAAACAAAAACATACGCAAATGAAAATAAGAAATATACTCAGAAATAAATTAAAAATCGTATTTTGTGCTTTTCTTAGTCCAATTTGAGTAAAATATTTTTGTCGATTTTCACAATTGCAATAATCATTCTGGGACAACGGAGAATGAGCAAATGTTCTGAAATTTCACACACAAGTGTTGGGTCTAGGCTTACATCAATGAAACACTGATGTCGAAAAATTATTTCCAGTCCTGTTATGTCAAAAACCTTTGGTGGAGGAGTCCCTTTAATATATAATGTATATACAATGTATATGAGTTGTTGAATTCATTGGCTTAATTGCTATGCTTT